AAAAACACTCAGGAATATATAATTTAAACAACCAAACAGTACATTCTACAAGCCTGCCTCCTGGCCGCCAGCACACAGCCTTTCTCTTTTCATGACTCTAGAGTCCTCAGCTGCTCCCTCTCTCCATGTCTCAATCTCTGCCTCCATCTCTGGTGTTGCTGATTCTCTGGATAGGGTCCCACATTCCGCTTGTGCTCTTCTCCCTTGATGGTCCTAGGGTCCTCTGTTTCTGGACTGAACAATTAACTACTCCCTCAGTTTTGTTACAAAACTTCTATCTTTACAATTGTGACAGTCACAATTAGTCATGATAACAATTACTATTGAATCCTAAGGGTCTTATCCCCATCTCTTTTCACCAGACATGTCTAGACGAGATGAAAATGATTCAGTGGGGACTCTATCTTCTCCTACACACTCTGAAACTAAACGCCCTTTTGAAAACTTGTCAGCCAGTCAATTTGTACCTTTATCGCCCCCTCATTTTAGGCAGCCAATGTCTAAGTTGCCTGTGTACAGAGGGTACAGCATTGATGCTTGATGTGAAGACTCCTTCCCTCTCTGTTGGTATTTTCATAAGTATATGAAAAGTATAGGTCAAGTTCATCAAATTGTAGCAATTTACACTTGTTTCCTTATAAAAATTTGTTTTCATTGTTTTTTTTAATCTTCCTCTAGTCGAGTTCTGATTATCAAGCCATGGAGGCTAGGTCAAATGGGTACTGTCTGCAATTTTGGGCATTCTTGTGCGTCTCCCTTCACTTCATATCAGCTGGATGCTTCACTCTCAGCTCTAGCCCTTCATGGCTAGGTCCTTGTCCATGGGCTCAGGAGTCCCCAGGTCTCATCACACTTTGGACCAACCAGCCCTTCCTCTTCTCTCTCTCATTCATCTCCAGGTCGACAGGAGTCTCTGGAACGTGGTTGAACTCAGCCCATTTCTTCATTGCTGCCCTTCCCCTTCTTCCACTCACCAGCAGACCAACACGATCACCCACAAGCTTACATGCCTGCTCATATGTTCCCTTTGAGTTTCAGTCTTGGAGGGGGGTTTGTCTTGAAGGAACTTGATTGCTTGCCTTGATGGCTCTCCGGCGAACAACTTGCTTGTTCTTGTCGTGCAATCATTTTTGAATGATCGAATCGAAGACCAAAGAAGAATCAATTCATTTGAATTATGGTATTGGCGAAGAATAATAAAAGTACCAGAGACTGCCAAAAGAACCAACAACCGTGTCTTGGAAGGAGTACAGTCAGAATGCACCTTAGAAATCAGGATGGCGAGATCTCTCATACTTTGGACATGTGATCAGTAGGGACCAGACCGTAGAGAAGGACATCATGTTTAGTCAAAGTGTCAGTGAAAAAGAGGAAGACACCCAAAGAGATGGATTGACCCAGTGGCAGTAACAATGGACTCAAACATGACTACAATTGTGAGGAGGGCACAGGACCAGGCAGGGTTTGGTTCTGTTGTGCACAGGGTCACTATGAATCAGAACCAACTCAGTGACACCTAACAGCGACAGCAAGCAAGAATAGTTGTACAACTTGAAGAATGAAATTGATGCCAAAATAATAACAGACATTGTTGGGATGATGTATATTTCACCATGTATTTCTCCCGACAATCATTTTCTGTTTTAATGAATTGGAGGCAGCCATGTGTTAGTAAATGCTCATTGTTGGAACACACTTTACTGCCCAGGTTCACTGGAGGGACAGTGCCACCTCTGAGCTCAATACTTCACAACTTCACAGGATTCTGCCGGATGCAGATGGGCTCATACCCCTGGTGTAAAAGTTTAGCACAACCCTACGGCCAGGCCCCACCACAGACCACTGAATCAGCATCCCTCAGGCGGGATTAGCCCAGGTGATGCAAATGTGCAGCCAGTTTTGAAAACCGCTGGGCACATGCTATATATACCTTGTCATCTGTGAAATGGGCTTTCCTATTAGAGAGCCAAACGTTTACTTCCATTCAAGAAACAATTACTGAGAGTCAGCTCTGAGCCAGTGACTGCCCTATGCCTGGCATGTGGTGGACCCGGATGAATGCAGTGGAATAGGCCTGCCCTGACTTGGTCTTGGCTCAGTCAGGGACAGGTGGTTGACACTGGCAAGTTGTTCAAACTCCATGGCCGTCAGTTTGGTGAAAAGTAACGGTAGCATTTCCCCGCCCACTGATTACGGTCCACTATGCAATGAGGTGCCACTCAGCAGTGATTTGCACACCTAATAGTGAGTAAAGCATAAAGTCAGAAAAACACACTATGAGGTTATTGGGTGCCATCACGTCTGTTCTGACCCGGTGGTATTGTTGAGTGCCATTGAGTCAGTTCTGACTCATAGTGACCCTGTATAGGTTTTCCAAAGAGTAGCGGGTGGGTTTGAACTGCCAGCCTTGTAGACCGAAGTCCATTCTCAGTCACAGCGACTGTGTAAACAACAGATCAAAGCACTGCGCAGTCCTCCACCAGCTTCACAGTCACGGCTGTGTTGGAGCCATTGTGTCATTCCGTC